GTAATATTCAGATCCCTTTCAAAGAAAAGACAGCCTTGTAAATGCTCTGTTAACATTTACACTGAATCACACAACACAAACGCAGAGCAATGTAAGAGGGGGCCTCCGTTTCTTACCCTCACAGCTCTTCAGGAACCCTAAGGTCAAAGCAAACTCACAGATTAACACAAAACAAAGCTGTGAAAACTGCCAAACCCAAATTAGCCACAATAATTTAATATGGTGGTTGAAACAACTGCACAGAAGTGAAATCTGGAAATCCGTGCAGGCAGCAGGGACCCCAGTCACACGCGCTTTCTGACGATGCGATGACTCAGCCCGCCCACCACTTTTCATCTCTGGGACCAAAGGGAGACAAAGCCTTCCCGGGGCACAGAGGCACCCTCTACATGTTCAGCCTGCCTCTCATTCCTTCCCAGTCATTCCACAAAGTGATGTAACTCGGGCCAGTGACTGTCAACCCGAGCACAGGAGCCAGAGGGATGCTCAGTTAGAACACAGAAAGATTTATTTCCAGAAGACTTGTAAAAAAGGAACAGAACATGTAAATTATTTTCTTTTCCTTTTAAACTTTAAAAAATTGGAATATGATCAGTTTACAATGCTGTGTTAGTTTTTGCTATACAATGACATCCTCCTCTTAAGACAACTCGAAAAGCTGACTTTGCTGGATTCTGAAAGCATAGAGCAAGGATAAGACAAACTCAAAGCAAGTCAGAGCCACAACTTTCTCATCTGTAAAATGGAACAATAATAACTACCTCATGGGATTGGAGTGGGTTGAGTAAGAATAATGCAGATAGGCTGCTCAAAACACGCCAACATGTTCTCAGTTCCTCAATTGGTTTCTGTGGGATTTTAAAATGACTCTAACTATGTTGTCTTTACAGGAGAAATGCTGCATTCCAAATTGGGACCACAAGTGATTTGCTAAAAAGTCCCCAAAATACATGCTCCAGGGTTCCCACACTTGCTCCCCTTAGCCTAGGGGTAGCTGGAGGGCTCTACAAGAGGATTTGCGTTCATTTCTATTGGTCTGATTCAATTTGATTAGTCTCCCTGATCAAACAGTGGGCTGTATTTGAAGGGATTCTTCTAAGTGAGAAAATCACTGGCTTCTATGCTGCATAAACAGCTTCCCTGGTGGCTCAGATGGTAAAGAATCTGTCCGCAAAGCAGGAGATGTGGGTTCGATCCCTGGGCCAAGAAGATCCCCTGGAGAAGGCAATGGCTCACCCACTCCAGTATTCTTGCCTGGAGAATTCCATGGACAGAGGAGCCTGGTGGGCTACAGTTCATGGGCTCACAGAGAGTCAGACACGACTGAGCGACTAAAGAACAACGCCAACATGCTGCCTCAAGAGCAGGAAGCTGACTCCCAGCTCTCTGCTTGGGGCCTGATTCCTGCGGAAGGCTCCCCAGAGATCTCTGCTCTCCTTCCTGCCATGCCCCTCCAGGAAGACAGCATTTCAGCCCTTCCTGCCAGCAAACTCCTGGGAAAATAAAGCTGGCCTCACTGGAGACAAACCCCTGTCACGCCAGCTGGCAGGAACGGAATTACATGCATGTTCTGTTGATGCTTCCTGAGTGTCTCCTGAAGATATAAATGTACTACCCTCCTTTCTGTAGTAGCAGGAGTGAGTGAGGACACATTTAATGCTTACATCAAGGCCCTGTGGGTCCTCAGCCCCCTAGCCCATACCTCCCTAAAGATGAGACTCATGGAGCTGCACGCTCACAGTGAAAGCCTGCCAGCTCCTCCAAACCTTTCTGAGAAAGCCTTTGGAAGCCTGCCTTGATGATGACGAACTGGGGTCCAAATTTACATGTGATAAATTGCAAAAACTTCCAGGAGTTTCACCGTTTTGACAAATGTCTACATTTGTGCTACGGCCCTAACTGACACAGAGCCTACCCTTACTCCCGCTCCCCATAAACTCCCTCGGGCCTCCTCCCAGTAATAACTGCCCACCCCCACAGCAGTTCTCACAGCTCAGAACGGGCTTGCCCGTTCTAGAGCTTCACGTAAATAGAACCAGGCAAAATGTACACACACGTTTGTGTCTGGCTTCTTTCATAATTCTAATGTGTTCTGTTTGTTTTTTATTAAAACAGGTTTATTCACTTGTTCCTGGCTGCACTGGGTCTTCACTGCCACACACGGGTTCCTCTGCTTGTGGTGCAGGGGCCCCTCTTTGTTCCAGAGCATGCGCTCTAGGTGTGTAGGTTTCACTCGCTGTGGCGGGGGGCTTCGCGGCTCTGAGGCAGGTGGGCTCTCCCCTGACCAGTAACTGCACAAGGCCCCCCACAGAGGCAGGAGACTCCGACCACAGAACCACTCGGGAAGCCCCTACAGTGCTCCTGAGCCTCATTTGTGTTGTCGTGGGCATCGTAGTTCATTCCTGTTGATTTATTTCTGCTTGCTTTGTTGCCCATGCCACTGGACCTGCAGACTCTCAGTTCCCCACCAGGGGTCCTGACTTCCCCCTTGTTGCTGTTGTTTAGTTGCTGAGTTGTGTCTGGCTCTTTGTGACCCCGTGGACTGTAGCCCGCCAGGCTCCTCTGTCCATGGGATTTCCCAGGCAAGAACACTGGAGTGGGTTGCCATTTCCTTCTCTAAGGGACCTTCCCAACCCAGGGATCAAACCAGTGATCTCTGGGTCTCCTGCATTGGCAGGCAGATTCTTTACAGCTGAGCCACTGCGGAAGCCTGATCACTGAGTAATAAACCATGTCAAAAGTTTGTAACTTGAGTCACCCCCCCCCCCCCCCCCACACACACACAATTCTGAGGTTGACAGGGCTCAGATGGACAGTTTTCCTGCTCCACCATGTCAGCTGGAGCTTCAGCCACTAGACAGAGTTGGCAAAAGATGTGCAATAATGCCATGTACCATTTCCACCATACAAGTTAAGTAATCTCAAGAGCAAAAGTAAAATGTAGGAAAACCATTAGAAAGTTATGAGTTTTGAGTATTTGTTTCAAGTTATATATGTGTTGTAAAATATACATCAAATTGACCACTTGAGCCATTAAGTGTCCAATCCAGGGGCATTAGCTATATTTACAATGTTGCATAACCATCACCACTATTTCCAGGATGTTTTCATCATCCCAGTCAGCAGCTCTGTCCCCATCAATCAGTAACTCCTATTCCCTTCTCCCTCCCCAAGTCCCTGGGAATCTCTATCCTTTCTGTCTCTATGAATGTCCCTATTCCAGGTACCTCATAAAAGTAGAATCTCACAGTATTTGTCCTTTTATGTCTAGCTTCTTTCACTTAGCTTATCCTTTGTATTTAACATCCTTTATTTAATTGTTCATTTGTAGAATTTTAAATTTTTCATAAACTATATTTAGTAGGGAAAACAATATGAAATATGTGTGTGTGTATGAGCATACACATGTATGTATCACTGAGTCACTGTGTTGTACAGCAGAATTAACACAACACTGCAAACCAGCCCTACTTCAACAGAAATCAGTTTTTTTTTTAAAGCTGTGTTTAACATCCAGCTTGCGAGCTTCCTGCAGATTTAACCGTCAGTTCCCACATGCCCATGGAGTGGCCTCTAACACCGTCCTGAGCCCACCGGTGGTCCAGCCTTTCATGGGTCCAGAATCCCAGCTTGGAACTCTCATTCCCACAGCCCTGCTCTTTGTCTGGGTCCCAGTGGACTTGCCAACCTCATTCTATCTCATCATCAGCAACCTCATCACAAACCATGGCAGAAGCCAGGCATCCTAACCACCCATCTAGAAACGTGGCTGACGAACACCTGGGAACACAGATGGTGTTTCTGTAGCAAGGCCAACCCTTACTGACTCACGTTACACCAAATCCATGCTACACTGGACCCTCCCCTTAAAAAGCAGAGGTATCACTTTGCCGACAAAGTTTCATATAGTCAAAGCTATGGTTTTCCCAGTAGTCACGCACAGATGTGAGACTTGGACCATAAAGAAGGTTGAGCATCGAAGGACTGATGCTTTTGAACTGTGGTATTTGAGAAGACTCTTGAGAGTCCCTTGGACAGCAATAAGATCAAACGAGTCAATCTTAAAGGAAATCAACCCTGAATATTCATTGGAAGGACTGACACTAAAGCTGAAGCTCCAATACTTTGGGCACCTGATGCAAAGAGCCAGTACACTGGAAAAAACCCTGATGCTGGGAAAGATTGAAGGCAAGAAGAGGAGGGGGTAGCAGATGATGAGATGGTTAGATAGCATTGATGACTCAATGGACATGAATTTGGGCAAACTCTGGGAGATAGTACAGCACAGGGCAGCCTGGCATGCTGCAGTCCATGGGGTTGCAAAGAGCTGGACATGACTTAGAGACTGAACGACGACAAAGTCATTCTGCATTTTGTTAAGAGAAGAAAATTGAGAAAACAACTTGTTCTTGAAATAGCAGTGTCATGCAAATTTTCTTCATAGCTTAGAAATGAAAGTCTCTCACCAGGATTACATATTCACATCCCTCAATCACTCGAACCTAACTAGTCTGGGCAGAAGTCTTTTAATATACAAGGACTGTGCATGCACCCTAATTTTATAAATTTTTGGACAGAAGGTGAGGATATGACTTACACATTACAGTTTAACTTTTCCCCCCATTTTCTTTGCGAGGGTTTAGCCACTTCCCTCCTAGGAACGTAAGCTCACAGTGAAATGACTCAGTTAGTGCATCTGACAATGAGATCAGAAGGGCTGGATATCCAGTGAGGCAGCAAAGGCCAGAGGCCAGCTCCCATGGGGACTGCAGCTGGGGCTGGGCGCCCGCACACAGATCTTCAGGTCTGCTGGGGGCTCTCACCTCTGGGCCTCCAGGCAGGCTGCTCAGTCCCTCTGCGCCTCTCTCGGTCATCAACCTGAGGCCGGTTGGGGTGGACGGCTGCCATGCCAGCCTCTCACCCATTTTCCGTGTTCCCTCTGCCCCCCACACAGCCCTCAACACAGCCACGCACTCCTGCCACGGGGCCCCTCCCTCCAGGTGCCCTGCGAGACGTTCCCCAGACACTCACTGTGCTGATGTCCTCACTCGAGTCCATCTTGGCCGAGGTGCCACCTCTTCAGACGGGAATTTCTTGACCACTTCATCTGAAAGCACACCCTCTCTGCCAAAATCACTGTATCCCCTCATTCTGCTCTGTTTCCTCCATAGTAATTTTCTCCGTGATGGTCCAGGATGTACTTGTTTTGTTCTTAACAGCATTATTGAGACATCATTCACAAACCATATAATTCATCCATTTAAAGTGTGCAATTTCATGGTTTTTAGTATATTCATAGCCTTGTGTAACCATCACCACAGTCAATTTTAGAACATTTCCATCATCTCAAAAAGGAACTCGGTACCCTCTGGATATCACTCTTTATTATCCCCTTTCTCAGCCCTTAGCAAACCACTCATCTACTTTTTGTCTTAGGTTTGCCTATTTTGGACGTTTCCTATAGACACAATCATGTAATGTGTGGTCTTTTGTGACTGGCTTCTTTCACTTAGCACAGGGTTTGCAAGGCCCACCCAGGGTGTAGCATACTTTGGGGCGTCATTCCTTTGTACAGCCTAATAATTCTCCACTGTATAGACGCGTTACATAGCTTTCTAAGACATTCATTAGCTGGTGGACGTTGGGTGGTGCCTTCCTTCTGGCTATCATAAATAACTCTGCCAGTAAACTTTCAAGTGTTTGTGTAGACACGTTTTTTCATTTTCTCTTGGGTGCAGATCTGTAAGTGGATTTCTGGGTCATGTGGTAACTCCATATGCAAACGTCGGAGGAGCCGCCAGCTGGTTTTCCAGAGTGGCTGGCGTTTTACATTTCCGCCGGCAGCGGATCAGTGTCCAGCTCCCCCACACCCTTGCCAGCCAAGGTGTGTTTGTCCACCAGTCCACTGTCCCCGCTTCTGGAATGTAAGCGGCCCGAGGGAGGGGACTTTGTTGAAGCCGTGCACCTCTGCACACTCTTCGCCACTGCGGAATACAGTGGATGAAAGTATCGGATGATGAATGGTTCTAGCTTTCCTCTCTTTGTAGGAAGCAGCATTGCCCTTGGCGTCTTTGAAACTCGGAAGCACTGGTGGCTGCGGGGTCAGTCTGAAGCGCTGCATGGCACACTTAAGTTTTAGGCTGAGTTTAATTCACCTGTCCTCCTTCCCTCCTCCCAAAGACACACGTTTTCACAGTGACCACTCTCCCCGCTAATTCTCACAACTGCAAACAAATCTATGGCCTCCCATCAAGGCCACAGAGACCGAACATGTGTGCGTGGAGCTGAGCCCCGTGATAAGCAAGGCCGCTTCCCAGCTCTGCACCACCCACCCTCCCTGCTGGGACGTCGTCCGAGGATGGGGAGATGGGACTGCCCGCAAGCACATGGGTACAGACAGGTCCCCTGTGTGCATTCCTTTAGTCTGGCTCAGAGGATCTCCAACCTTGAACGTGTACAAAACGGGCCCCAGAGCTGTATATGCCAGGCCATACCCACACCATGGGAGATTTAGGCTCAAGGGATTCTCAGGCATAACTTGACTAATGTGATTTTAGGTTAATCCTGGCTTTCAAAGTTATCTTCCACCTCACATCCTGCCTCAGGAAGGATGCCTCTTCATCGTGGCCCCAGAAACGGACTCCAGCAAAGGAAGAGAGCCCACGGGCTTAGCAGGGGGACAGCTGACGACACATGAGGAGGCACTTGCCAGTCGCGTGCTGTGTGTGCTCAGCCACTGCGGTCGGGTCCGCCTCTTTGCGACGCGATGGATGCAGCCAGTTGATAAGCAAACTGGCAAGCATCTCCTGAAGCACATACAGGTACCAGCAGACCTTCCCAGCATTTCCCAAAGGACCACAGAGGAGGAGCCACAAGGATGGGTACCATCTCCTGGACTCAGAAGACCCTGTTGCTATGTCAGATGAGTTAATTTCTTTCTAAAAGTACAGCCTGCTCTTGCTAGCCACTGCCCAAGGTATACAGGAGATGGAGTCAGTGATTAAAACTGAGTATCTGCTTCAGGGAATGTATAGATCAATGGAGAATCAAGTAGCAGGTGACTGAATATAACGGTTTATAATTAATATTAGGGACTTCCCTGGTGGTTCAGTGGTTAAGAATCTGCCTTTCAGGGGAGAGGAGAGGACAGGAGAGGTGAGATGTGTGGAGAGAGTAACACGGAAACTTACATCGCCGTATGTAAAATAGCCACCGGGAATTGGCTGTAGTCTCAGGGAACTCAAACAGGGGCTCTGAATCAACCCAGAGGGGTGGGGTGGGGAGGGAGGTGGGACGGGGGGTCAAGAGGGAGGGGACGCATGTATACCTACGGCTGAGTCATGCTGATATTTGACAGAAAACAGCAAAATTCTGTAAAGCAATTATCCTTCATTTTAAAAATAAATTTATTAAAAAAAAAAGAAAAAGACCCTGCCTTTCTATGCAGGGAATGTAGGTCTGACCAAGACCCTGGCTAACGAGCTGAGATCTCGCATGTCGTGGGGCAACTCAGCCTGCATGCCGCAACTACAGAGGAGCCCGTGTGCTGCCGTGAAGGGCCACACACTCTGGAGACAGACAGAGCCCAGTGCAGCCAAGATAGAACTAATAAACGCAGGGTCAGGGTGACAAACGTGTAGCACGGACAGGAATAGGGAGTGACAGGGAAGCCGCTTGAGACGATGACCAGGGAAGCTCTCTCTGTAGAGATGTCGCTGATTCAGAGGCTATGGTGAGGAGATCTCAGGACCAGCGTCCCGGGCAGAGGGGGCGGCAAGCGCAAAGGCCCAGAGGAGGCGTCAGCGTGGTGTGCAAGGACCAGTGTGAAGGCCAGTGCTTGCACGGAGGGATCAGAGGGAGACAGGAAGGGCTATGTTGGAAGTTACCCAAGGACCAGACTGTGTAGGGCATCGTAAGCCACGATAAGGACTTTGGGTTTTATTACTAAGTTTTATTTGGATGGAAGTCATTGGAGGGGTGGTTATATATTACTTCCCTTAATCCTTATGAAAAATATTATCTTACTTAATCCTTATAATAATACTGTGGGGGTAAACATTGTTATTCCCACTGGGACATCAAAACAGTGAGGCTCAGAGAAGGAAAAAAATAACATAACCAGGGTCACGCAAATGGTAAACAGTAGAGTCAGGGTTTGAGTCCAGTTATTAATAGCATGACCAACCAGCCTGACTGCCCCAGGACTGGCCCAGTTTTCACACAGAAAACCCCGCATCTGGAAAACCTCTCCAATCCAGGGAAAGCAGGACGGTTGGTTACTTCACTGCCAGGTTTCTTTGCCTCCAAAGCCCCTGCGTGCCTACTTGCTCAGTTGCTTCACTTGTGTCCAACTCTTTGCAAACCTTCAGACTGAGCCCTCCAGGACCCTCTGACCCTTGTTCTCCAAGCAAGAACTCTGGAGAGGGTTACCATTTCCTCCTCCAGGAGATCTTCCCCACCCAGGGATCGAACCCATGTCTCCTGTGTCTCTGCATTGCAGGTGGATTCTTTACCCACTGAGCCACCTTGGGAAACGCCCAAAGCCCATATACTAGAATGATTCCGGAACCCTGGAAGAAAAGGACCAGATATCCAGAGCCTGCAAACATCCTTTCTGAGTTCTGCCAAGGAAGGGAAAATGTGTCATGTTAACTGTTCCTTCAAAAAAATTTCATCAGGGGCTTGGGTGCTCAGTGGGAAGGGTGGTCCTTACCCACAGTAACTATCTCATACAGCATGCAAACTGGGATGCCATGAAGAACAGAAAGGATGCTATTAAGAATCACATGGGGGACCTTACTTGTGGTCCAGTGGTTAAGAATCCGCCTGCCAATGCAGGGGACGTCGGTTTGGTCCCCAGTCCAGGAAGATCCCACATGCCGCAGGGCAGCTAAGCCCACAGGCCACGGCAGCTGGGCCCGTGTGAACTACTGAGGCCTGCTCCGCAGTAAGAGGAGCCACTGCACGAAGAAGCCTGTGCAGCACAATGAAGAATGGTGCCCTCTTGCTGCTCCCTGAGAAAACCCTCTTGCAGCAACGAAGACCCAGCGCAGTCATATATAAAAAATTAACTAAAAGATAAAAAAATAAAAAAGAACCCCATGGAAACTACAAGCACTAACCAGGGAAGTCCTGGGCAAGCTGGCTGGAGGACCACTCAATCTGGGTCCGGCTACAGCATCTGGAGGGCAGATGTCACTGGCAAGGCTCCAGTACCCTTGTGTATTCCTCTTTGGCCTTTTAGCTCCTCTGATCAAGGTGATTTCTGATAAAAAGCCCGAAGCCCTCTTAGAAGAATCAGATGATACACACGGGCCCTCTGCTGTCTGCCCCATGACAGGTCCCCGCCCTAAGTTACCAATTGGGCTTCCCTCATGGCTCAGGCGGTAAAGAATCCGCCTGCCTGCAGTGCAGGAGACCGCCTGCAATCAGGAGACCAGGGTTTGACCCCTGGGTTGGGAAGACCCCCTGCAGTAGGAGACAGCAACCCACTCCAGTATTCTTACCTGGAGAACCCCATGGACAGGGGAGCCTGGTGGGCTATATAGTCCACGAGGTTGCAAAGAGCTGGATATGACAGAGAGACGAACACTTTAACTTGAGTCACAGTGAATGACTCAGTTTGATTCTGTTAAAAGCACTGGAGCTTCCCAGTCAAAAAGAACTGGTGTAATTAAAACAGAAATAGTAGCTGCCATTATCTGGGCATTGATTATATGTTAGGCATGGTTCTATATCACTTAAGCATCGAAACAAACCTTGGAGGTGACTGTCATTAGCCCCATTTTGCAAATGATGACACCGAAGCTCAGAGTAGTTAAGGAACGTGTCCAAGGTCACAAAGCCCGCAAGAGGCAGGCATAGGAAGCTGAATTCAGGAACATCTGACAGAACATCTTGGCTTTTCATTTGCAGAGTCTCTCTCTCTTTTTTTTTTTTGCTTGTTCAATAAGTTTATTATTGTCTTATCTGAAAAATCTTGATAGAAAACTGTGGTTTGGTTTAACTCTCGGCAGCTTGTTCCTGAGCTCTGAGGAAGCTTGCCTTCTTCTGAGCTACCGGATCTTTCTTCTGGGCAAGTGACATTTGGGGATGGTTCCACTTCTTCTTTTTAACTTCCTTCTTAGGCTTCTTTCATACACTGGATCCTTTCATATTGCAGCATAAGCTTTCTTACACATCTCCTCCATCATGTCTGGAGTTACACTGTTCTTTATGTACTGAGAGAATTGCTTCTTGTAAGCATCTTCATCTTTTTCAGTCAGGTAACACATGTAATCTGCAACGTTCTGCCCCATGGTGTGCTTCCAGTGTACCTCAGTACTGAATTCTTTGCTTTCTGAATCATAACCAGGGAACCGTTTCATACTGAAATAAAGTTTTCCGTATTTTAGTATATACTGGTTGAAATCAGTTTACTAGCAGGAATTCATTTCAGTAGCTGCCATCAGAGTCTTTTTCTTGTGTGGAGACTTCTGATCTGAATTCCTTTGAATCCTTGGGCTAATGGATCTCTCCACAGGAATCTTTAACCTGGTGCCCATGGACCCCCCCAAGTGATTCTTACATAAAATTCAAGATGAATAGATAAATACACAACACTAACCTGAATGTTATTATTTTTCTCATTTTAAAAATGAGAAAAAATTAGGAGTAATTGAAACTTTGTCACCAGTGGAAATCAAATATTTTCATATCACATCAGTCACAGATTATTTGAAATATCGTTTACTGTTATTGCTACTTCAAAATTACAGTTATTAAGACTTCCCACTGGTCTTGTCATTTAATGTGTTAATAAAAAACACATATTATCATATTATTTGTTAGATTTTTTTAAAGTAACTGCATTTTAATATAATTGGTTTTCTTTGCCTGCTAATGGGTTTTTATAGATTTAAAAACAATTCTGAGGAAGGAAGAATCAAGAGGGAGGAGGCTACGTATACCTGTCACTGATTTCATGTTGACATATGGCAGAAACCAACACAATATTGTAAAGCAATTATCTTCCAATTAAAAATAAATGAATTTAAATTTAAAAAAATTCTGAGAGGACATCACGGGCTTACTCAGACTCCCAACAGGTTCCAGGACATAAAAAAGACAGAGCTTAAACAACAACAACAAAAAAAGACAGAGCTCCTGCAAAGAGCTGGAAAGTGAGCTAGCCATTTATTTAATAAATGATTTACTCTTTGGTCACAAAGTTTTACATAACTTTACAATATCACCAAAAGTTGTACATGTAAGACGTGGAGAAAGCCTGAATGGAAATATTCATTCATGGAGGCGTTAAACAAATGTTCTTTGGGCACCTACTATGTATAAAGCTCTGGAAGTGTCCTTGTCCTGGAGGCAGGACAGACCAGAACGCTGGTTTCACGGAACTGACCTCTCGAAGGGTCAAGACAATAGAACAGTCATCTCACATATAATTAGGCAACACAAGGCAGACAGGGCCTGCGGTGGGTGCTCTGAGAATTCCCTGACCAAAGAATACTGAGGTATGAAGCTTGTGTGTTCAGTAGTGTCTGACTCTTTGCGACCCCATGGACTGTGGCCCACCAGGTTGGTTACTCTGTCCATGGGATTTCCCAAGCAAGAATACTGGAGTGCGTTGCCATTTCCTTTGCCAGAGGATCTTCCTGAGGAAGGGACTGAACTTGAGCCTCCTCTATCTCCTGCACTGTAGGTGGTGTCTTTACCTGCTAAGCCCTGAAGGATGGGTAGGCATTAAATGAGCAAACAGGGGGTGGGGAGTGAATGGAATTGATTTACACAGGCTCACAAGAGTTGACTGGTAGATTTGAAGAAATTC